AATATATATATGTATATATATATATATATCAGGAAGAGATGTGACGGATGATCGGAGGCTATGTTTTCAGTAAAAAAACAGCAATCAATATTGCAAAGGAATTTTACCACTACAATACCTTACCAGCAAAAACGTACCTCATTAATGCAGAAGACAAGGGCTTCAGTGGAATTCGTTAAATGATTTCTATAACACAGTGTTCCCATTGCCAATTCAGTGACACGCCTATGTATACTAATTACTGCTGCACAACATGCATTTCCTGCGTCCGTTTGCATTTCTTCAATGGTGCAATTACATGCTAACGAACTAATCATCAAAATTAGCGCATTCGAGGTACCACTGATATACTCCATTATGGTTTCAGTTGCCGGGCCAAAATCAATGCATAACAACTTGTCGACATCAGTAATCCCTATTTGTAGAACTGATACATCACTAAAACTAAGAGTTATTAAAATTCTCTTACAAAACTCTCCCCACAAAACTTGATGTTGATAATCCAAAGTGGAGATCGGTGGAAATGATTAGTGAGAAATGAAACGTGGAAATTTTGAGTTTTGAGCAAACGAAGTCCCCGTTTTGTCTAGTTGATGTACATAATCTCGAGCGGGTGATAATCGGTAAATGAAATGGACGGAAAGGTTTCACACTAATAGGATGAAGTCAGGAGACACCAAAATCGATCTGCAAATACTCTACCAGAAAAAAACTCAAAGTTCTCGTTAAATTAATAAAATATAAGTGTTACCAACCTGTGATTAATTTTGAAATATGCGGGAAATGACCGACGTACAATGGCACCTTGAAATGGATCAAGCAGTTTTGCAGGTATTAAAGCGGAAATTAATTTCTCGATAGGAAAGGAAGAGAATAACGACAGCCCATTTATTGCTAATATTTCTTTCTGAAATTCACTTAGTCTTCTTTTCAATAAATGCAAATGCTTCATTTTAACAAGACTACTTTGGGAAAAGATCTGTATAAAGTCTTGTACGACGTACATAGGGGACTATTAGCACAAAATGCACTATACTGAATCATAGTCTGTTCTGACAGCAATTATTCAAAAAATGATAAATACCTGCTACAAATAGTAGGCAAAAAAAAGTTTTATAAAACAGGAACTTTAACTAGCAAAAGTGCTTAGTTCCAGTAAGCAATGACCTAACTATCTGTATAATTTGATTTCACAATTCAGTTTGCTATCACTTTTACAGCAGCAGTATGTACTCAATAAAGAGCGCATGACATGCTTGAACTAAATAAATAAAACGTTATAAGACTACATTTACAACACTTACATTTATTTAAACTTGTACCAATAACATGAATTGATAGAATGAGAACTCATGCAACTAGACCAATATCTCTTCGTTACATCAGCAAAAAATTATGGAATCTGTTGAGCACGCTGAGTAACTCACAGCCTTTTTAAGTTCACTTTAAAGTTAATACTTACAGAAGAAATATTTAATTGTATACAAGGCTGAGCGATTTCAACTGTGTCGTGCTTTTTTTGATTACACTGCTGTGAGCACAGGTAACTATGATACTCGGTGGGCAGTGCTGTTCCAGTCAACAGACAACGTATGATGTCCACCAGATGAATCGTAATAACATGTCCCTCATTCAAATATTTCGTAAAATACTTGATTAACACACGATATGCTTCACTTGCAACCAATACATCATTACTGGATACTGAAAAAGATATAACATGACATAGCCGATATATAATACTACCTATCGAATTTCGAAAACTTTATAAGGTCTGTCCATTTACATTTACAACACTTACATTTATTCAAACTTGTACCGATAACGTGAATTGATAGGATAATTTCGTCCACTTGCATTGACGAGCCATTATTGATAATATATTTCAGAAGGCTACTTAAATGTTCTTTTTCATCCGCATTACTTGCAAGACTCCAACTCATTTCCGCATGGTCAGGATCTCCTGGCATCCGAGTCGAAGAGTCTAAAAACTGTCAAAGTGATAAAACTTCAGCTGGATAGCCACAAGACAAGAGATATGTTGTTACGAGACTTTTGCATAAAGATTTTAAAGAAAGTATTCGTAGTTCACAAAAAGTTCATCATGTATCCCCGTGACCATTCAACAATCCACATTTTTTGCTTCATGGAAATGGAACAGTGGATAAGACAGTAAAGGCAGTCATTGCACTAAAATGTTCACACCTTTTAGAAATTTCAGAATAACGAATCAACAAGCTCACATTTACAAAAGGATCACTCAGCTTATATAGTAAAAGAATGACCTATGTTTTAGTAATTTACATACGATGCTTTGATCAGGTATACCCACACTTGCCGCATAATTGATAACTGTAACCGAAGAATGACAGTATAACTAACGGCATAACTATGTGACTTTCTAGTACTATTTGATATTACCAATATTACGATGGAAAATGATTACAGTGAAAACAACCAGGATGACCATTTCCAAGGACGTCATCCCATTTTTATTACTAGTAGGAATGGAAAACTTAGGCTCTATCTAATAGTTTGGGATTATTAAATGAACTTAGATAGAAGAACCACTTGATACTACTTCTAATCACTACTCGACATCCTCCCTCTGCCTCGTCCCTCCCATCCCGATCATCTCTGAACACTCTGCTTACACAAACCAATCTCGAAAGTGAGCACTATCTAACGTTAGCAATAATGTGAATCATTATTAATGAAGTCAGCTTAGGAGGTTGAAATTTGCTTTAGCAAATGAAAATTAATACAAGTATAAATGAATTTCTATTTTGTTCTTTTCTGTTCTCTGCCATCAGTGACTATTCTTTTCCGTTCCGTTTCAGCAATATCAGTCCTGTCGTCCTGTCCAGATAATTTCATTCAGTCGTTTAAGCTTCCACCAACATTAAACAATAAATACCAGCAAATAAGCACTGTTGAATGGTTTTGAGAAGGACATAGCAGCCATTCCCCCTCACGTATCCCGTTTAACGTCTCATAACTCCAAACAATAAAATTGGGAACGGTTGGAAATTTCTCAATGAGAAGTCACTTCCGGTGTCGTACCGCACGCTCAGGGACGCAATGCAATCTAATTCGGACCCTCGACAACTGAGTAATTAACGGTGGTGATTGTCGACTGAAGTACCCGATAAGGACTTGCATGAGCGTGAGCTTCCTGTTAACCGAGTCTTCACAACACCTTTCTGGGAATTCAGAAATCCCACCTGAAATGAAGTTTGTGTTTTTTCGAAATCTTTTTAACAACTTTCAGAGCATTACCTTAGTGCGGTGTTGTTTACTGATATCCTGTCGCTTTATCCTACAAATCAAAAAATTTCTTTCTGAGGTGAATTTAATCCTTTTATTTTAATTTCTGAAATTTCTTTTTCTACTTCACTGTGTAATTTGTTCCTACTGAAAGCATTTAACCACTTAAACAGCATAATGAACAAACACGTTATTTGATTATTATCATTTTTCGGTTATCATTATTTTAGAGTACCCTATCGGAAAAAGTCATTGCTGGGTATGTATGCTCAAATTATGCTCTCCTCCTTTGTTTAGTTTATATGCTTGCTAATCTGCTCATCGGAGCATTACTGTTAACGATGCACGACAGTTTAACGGTACAGTTTCTTTTATTTCGAGTGACAACAGGAATTATATTTACTAAAATTTTTCATATTTGTTTCCCTTAACTGTCCTGAACAGAACACATTATTTGTAGGACTAATGCTTACCTTTCGGCTGTTTGTTTACTTTATGGACCTAATTTCAAATTAATCCTTTGCTTACTACCTTATCTGTTATACACACATAAATGCAGGGATTTTTTCGCGCATAGGAAATGTTATGAATTCATTAGCAGTTTTTTATCACTTAATATCATTAATCAGATATAAAGGAACAAAAGGAAATAAGTGACCATAAGAATGACTCATTGATTTTCAAATTAATTGTTGGTTTAATCGGATCAAAATTCTCCTTATCGTCCTTTGGTCAGTTTTTATCAGTATATTGCTGATTTTCCCGACCAAAGCTGTTCGCTGTATTTAGTTCTTAGATCAAAATTTCTGTGGTAATATAGTATCTTAGTGACTTATGTTCTTTCTCAAAGGTTTAGATAAACTCATGGAATAAAATTCTAATTACTATCAAAATACAGGGCAAATATAGTCGAGAGAATTCAGTAGACGAAGCATTACGGAACGCTGTTGCAAAAAAAGGAAAATCAGTGGAAAATAAAATTTTATCTATGAATAAACTTAATCTGTTGTCGAAAAAGTGTTTGATCCTCCAAAGATATTGAATTTATTTGCGGATTTCATCAGCTATTTTACCTTCGAAATGTGGTTTTTTATACGGTTGATTGCACTTGATGAAAGATAACTTGTATGAGGTAATGACTTTTAGCAGCAAAGTTTCTTCCTTTCATAATAGAGTTTCATGCGATCCATGCGATCAACTTGAAAAAATTAATCAGGAGTTTTTACTTTTTGCAATCGTTTCACGATAAAGATGGGTTTTTACAGATTTATAATCGTTTTTTTTTTTACAGATTGTAATCGATTTTTACAAATTTATAATCGTTTCACGATAATGATAAAGATGGATTTTATTATAAAACTGTTGAAAGTGCGAATATATGTCAACTCGAAGACAAAGTAATTCGTTTTAAAAACTATTATTCTTTGATAATTATTTGCTGTGTGTTATTTGGAACACACTGTAATATCTTTACAACAACAAGGCGTTAAAAACATCTGAAATTCTCAGGAAAGATAGTAAGAAGCTAGTTTACTAGAAGCCTTATTATCCTAGAACAAAATATGCCGTGTCGGAGGTCCCTATGTCTTTAGCCAAAGAAGATATGATCACAAATTACTGCAAAATGCTGCAGTAATTTCCCAGTTTCTTGAAGATTTCAAGGAAATGTTTCTTCATTCTCTGAAGGATGCTAAGTGGAGTTTCGTTATAAAATCGAGAGATTTAAGGAAAAAAATTTAACTCGAATTCATAGTATGCTATTTTACTTAAGATCACTTTCAGGTAAGACGAATCCTGCTAGGACTTTTTAAACTTGTATTTGTAATGAGTTAAATTATAAATTCGCAAGGAATTGATTTACTCTCTTACGGCCTAAATGATTAAGTGCTTACGGTGAGTTGATAACCAAATCACCAAAAGTTATGCCTCTGCAACGAAAATTAAAATTTTTAAAAAAAATTAGGAGATTTTCATCTTCTATTTGATTTTTCCTTCTATTTTCAAATTACCATCATTTTCTTTGAATATTAGTATTAACTGCAAATAATAATGCACATGGGTTTCCTGAGTAGAGAAGCTGATTTCAAAATCGCTGAGTTATCATTTGTTGGACCATTTGGAAAACTTGTGCAGTGATCCGTTTTGATTGCAGCACTTTATCTTTTGGGCCACAATCTTATGATTTCTGCCGAAACCGGAACTCTGAAAAGGTATGCTCTTTGCGTATACTCGTATAATCGGAAAATGACACGAGTGATAGGGAGTTCTTCTGTGGGATAGTTCTTTCTAGTATTATATTCCGCTAAGAACTTGGTTTCAAATTTTAATAAATTATCAAAATGAATAAGAAACAGCCTTTTACAATCAACAAATTATGATTTTTGGCGTGTGATATCTTGAGAACGGACAACGAATGTAAGAAATGTATGATTTTAAGTAATGACAATTAATTGATAAATATTGCAAGTTGGCGTGACAGTCTCATTCTGACATATTGTTAAGTTTTCCTTGCTATTCTAAACTGTTTACGAGTCTGTTCGCTTTCATTAGTGGATCAGCATGTTAAGAATACTTGCTTTGTCTTTATCACCACTATTGAAAACTAACACGCTACATCTTAACAAGACAGAATTCTCCGTCCTCTTGTTCGTTTCGATATAATAACTTAGCATCCTTTAGCATCCTTATAGGCCTTGTTCTCTTATTAGCAAGAGTTTCTCATTCCATGCTCATATTTTAAATTAACTTTGTTGAATTTGTTTCATTTTCAGAAATATAAAGAATCGATATAAATTTCCATGTCTACTTCAAGGTGGCGAAGTAATTAATCTCTTTTTCGTTGGCCTCAAGTATCTCTGTAGAAAAATGAGTGGTTTTTTTCTAATAAATAAAGTAATTGATAAAATCAAAGGGTTTTATTTTCTTTGGTCTAATTTTTTTACATTTCGGATCTAGATCTACATGTGC